CTCCACCCCGGGCCCGGGGCGCACGCAGGGGACCCGACGGCCCAGCGCCGACGGCCGAGTGTTACACTGCGGTAAAGTGCCAACATCCAGCCACCAACCAACCAACCAATCCACCTACCCATCCATCTACCCGACTACCAACCAATCATCTAAACTACCAATCAATCATCTACCAATCTATCCATCTACCTATCCCTCTACCCGACTACCAATCAATCATCTATCAATCTATCTATGTACCCACCAATCTATCCATCTACCAATCAATCATCTATCAATCTATCCATTTATCAATATCTACTGTCTATCAATCAATCTATCCATCTGCCTGTCCATCCATCCATCCATCTAATCACCTATCATTTATCTATCCACCTATCCATCATCTATCCATCTATATCTATCCATCCATCCATCCATCTATTCAACTATCAATCTATCCATCACATGTCTATCCAACTATCTATCCATCTATTACCTGTCTGTCTGTCCATCCATTCACCTACCTTTCCATCTATCTATCTATCTATCTATCTATCTATCTATCTATCTATCCATCCATCCATCCATCCATCCATCCATCCATCCATCCATCCATTCATCCACCCACCCACCCACCCATCCATCCATCATTTATCTGTCTGTCTGTTAAGTTCTATTGAATGAGTAAATGGCGACTGATGGAGACCAGGGGAATCTGACTCAACCCTGCAGGGAGGGGATGTGAACTCTCTAGAGCTTTGTTCTGGCGCTTTCCGGCGTGGGTTCGGGGCTCACCTCCAGGGCGGCCTTCTGCACGGTGACCTGGTTGAAGACGCGCGCGCCCTCGGGACACACGGCCCTCAGCTCGTCTTTGTTGAGGGAGAAGAGCTGCGCCCCGTTCAGCACCCCGAGGCTGCTCACCGTCCTGGGGCGGGAGAGGGGGACAGGGGTCAGGGCTCGGGGCACCCGGGTGGAAAGTTCTAGAGTGTCCCCAAGGCCAGGTTAAAGGCCTCCCCGTGGGCGCGGCCTCCTCCGCGGAGGCCACCGGCCAGGAGAGGAGGCGCCCGGCGCGCTCAAGACCTGCGGGAAGGTCCCTGAGCCTGTGCTCTCCGAGGAACCAGCAGAACGCAGGGCGTGGGGCCGTGGTTCACGGGGTGGAGCGCCCGCCTGGAGGGAAGGAGCCGAGGGACGGCGCCCGGCCCCGAGTTCGAGGCCCGGGACCCGCACC